TTTCTGCACCAAGCTAAATTTTTGTTTTATCTATACAGCATTAAGCAAAGTGGTACCTCACTATATTTCTTCATAATCTTTATAGCTAATGGCACTTCATTAATTTCTCGTATCTTTGCTCATAGATCAGTTTCTTTTATGTCTAAGCGATTACGCGATATCTGGCTTTGAGAAATATTTCTTAAGAAAAAATATTTATTTAGTCAATGCTCACATCTAGTTATGTTTTAAAATGTAAAGGAAAGAAATAATAGGAAACGTTTCTAATTTTGATTCTAGTTTTAGTTCAGTCACATTAGCATTAGCCCATTATTCCATGCATCAGTGTTTTGTGCAAATGAAGTTTGCATACTTTTGTTGCATTTTTTTAAAAGTCATGTACGTCATATGACACACCCAAATTCAGTGCATTTGCAAATGACTGTTATCAGGATAGGGTTGCGCGCTGGCCTAGCAGTTAAAGCATTAGTCTTACCTCTGCCACGCCCCCAACCTCACCAGAGTGTAATAAATTGGGTAGACAATGTTAAACCGGAAAGACTGTGGCCCTCCCAAATATCAGTAGTTTATACATATTGTGAGATATCAGTGGGGTTTAAACATGGCTTTGTGCTTTTTCGATAGTTACATGTTATTAGTTATTATTGATTATTGGATACTGATAAAATGGGCGGCCAAAAGTGGGTTATCAGTTATAAATTAATTATTTATGAATAATAATTGTTACACTTCTTCTAGTACATGGTTCTTTTTAGTTACGATATGTATATTAAGTATATAACAATATAAAGCAAATGTTTTTACTAAATTAATACTCAGTTTTAATTCTAATGGATTTAAAATCTGACAACATAAATGTGTTGACGAATACAAAAGTTAAAAATCTATTTGTCAGAACCTATTTTATGGCTCACTCTGAAATCCAGACACACAATAAACAGGCAAATTTTAATGGTAACACTCAGTAGTATTATAAGTTTCATTATCCACTGTTTGCATTTCTAGTGAAGTTAGGTTCCAAGGTTTTGAATATTGATAAGCAGTTTCACAAACGTATTTGATTCCATAGTCAAAATTTGAAAAAGATGCTTTCGAGTAGTCTGCCAAATTCGGCACTCAGTGGACTTTTCAGTGGTCTGAAGGATTGCTGTATTCTAAACACTTGTATGTGTACCATTACAAAATACAAGGAAACAAGCATGGGTGTCATGAATGTAACAGATTTAGTTGTTACAAATCCATACTTACATGGCCGCGCACTAGGAGTGAGTTGTTTACTTTCAAATGTCTAAATATATTTACAATTACTGACTGTGCCATATCATGAGCATGGAACAGAAATGCAATAGAATATAATCAGTATGATTATTTAATAAAGAAAGCCAGTATTACATACCTAGGGGAACATAATTGGAAAATGCGAATTTTCGAAAATTTATTTTCTTATACTGCATATGAAAATAAATTGATAAAAATATAAATCAGAAAGTTACCCAGGTAACCTAAGAGCCTAAGAATCGAATCAAAATTTTGTGTGGAGTTGGTAAGCAGATAAATAGTAGCAAAAGTTATTAAGTTATTAAGTTATTACGAAAAGTTATGCCTATACATATTTACGGTAAACGAGCAGTTTTATGCAGATATTTTACTTAAATAGTTTCATTTTTTATTCTACAAGAGGTGAAATCTGCTAACATAATTAACATAATATTAAGGAATACAAAGGTTGTAAATCACTATGTCGGTTAGTGTTTTATGGCATGTCTTTGAGCAAATATTGTGAAATCCGTTGTTACACAATAAACACGCAAATTTTAATGGTAATACCTGGTAATATTATAGGTTTTATTACCCACTGTTTGTATGTTGTATGACGTTAGTGGGTCGAAATAGCTACGCCCTGAAATGTTTGAGTATTTTTGTAGTCAATGAAGAGCTGAATAGTGACTACGTGGAAAATAACAAGCCCTGAATACTAAATATGTAGATAATAATATACGACAGATATCCCACCTCAGCGGGTCAAAACAGCCATGCCCTCAAATTAGCAAATGATTCTGCGTTTAGCTGTTTTAATTTAATTGAAAGTATTCTAAATCGAAGAGCATTTTACTCTGGCACAGCCCCTCATATTTTGGGTTCTTTTGTTACGATTTTAATTTTTTTTGAATGATTTGATTTTTTTTTGATAAAACGTCAAATATAGCCATTGGATAAAGTTTCATAATATTTATAAATCATACTTCATAAAAAATGTTACTGGTTGATTTACACTTTCCTGTGATCTAATTTTGTGTTGTCAGTTTTATTTTTAAACTGAAATTGTTTTAGAATGCAAACTTTATTATAATATATTCTACCATTGTGTGTTTTTATTATAATATTGGCAAATTTATTTCATTGTATCAATACATGTTTATGCTTTTTGATATCTTAGCATATTATATTGTATTATATGTATGTGATGTCACTCTCGAAGTATCAGGATTTAATTTTGAGCTCTGTCCTAATGTTGACAAATATTCCATTGAAAGATATCAAGAAACAGTATTTCTGTCTTCAAGCAGCCTTGTACAATTATTTTCATTATTCTAATAGCCAAGTCTTGCATAATTGATATCAGGTATAAAAGAATAGTTGGCCATGAAGGATGAACTAAATAAAAGTTCAAGCGTAACTCTGTCAAAATTTTACTTATACAGGTTATAGGATGCTCTGTTGATGAGATAATTCTTTTTCCAAATAAGTCATCATTTTCCCTACAATTTCTAACTCTCGATCTTTAAAATTTATGATAAATTGAAAATACTCTTGTTTGGTTTAGAGAAGTTTTGTTTGGAATAAATGATAGAACCTGTTGTAATGTATGTGTGTTCTTTAATGGAATTATAAATTGCAATTTTCATTTAATCTATAAAGTCACCATTATTAGGATCACAGGTTGAATACTGTGTAACAAGTGTAAGTGTCTCCAATAGTATAGGGTTGCCATACGCCATATATTTCCCTGACATGTCTGAGATTTTAGTGGTCAAATTTGCGTCAGGGAGAAATGTTAAAAAGTGCCTAATTGTCAGGGATTTTCGAATACAGTGAATCCCTGATACAAATCCTTGAGTTTTCAGATATTGCGCATTCATGAAATTCTATTTTTTCAGAGATATGTCACATTCTAGCATTTTTGTGCAAATGGATTGCGTCGCATTCGTGATGTCACAGATGACCTGAATTGTCAGCATTTTGTAATCGGTATTTTGGTTGCACTGCTTTTACCTGTATTTATTCCGTGCTAGAGTTTAGTCCAGCCTTTCTCGAACTGTGTGCCCCAAGCGACTTTCAAGTGTGCCGTGGCCCTTTTTGGAATTTTAGAAAATAAGCTGTTCGCATTACACATAGGCATGCTTGCAACGGGCAAGCTTGGGAGAGTTGAGTAACCATAATTAATTAGACTGATATTATTATAGCATTTGCCTTGTGGTATCAAGGGCGATGTTGCGGCATAATTGTATTGTGATGTCATACCCTTTTTGTAAACAAGACGTCCACCTTCCACCATGTTGACTTACGTGTTCAGTTACGTGTTCATTTGATTCTCCATGGTTCTGTTAACACATATTTTCTGCTGTGACTGAAATCAAAAGCAAAAAAGGGAGCAACCAAACCAATCCTCCAAACAGGCTTTAACATTGATTTAACATTTGCAGAATAATTTGTTCAAAGCTAACTTTATTTTTTCACAAGTGTGCCGCAAGAATTTTTTTATTTTCTTAGTGTGCCGCGAGTAAAAACCTATGAGAACCACTAGTTTAGTCACTAGTGCTAAAGATTGGGCAACAAATCTGCTCCTTTCGTTTTGTTCTCCATATATTCTATTCTCACGAGAGAAAGCTTGTGCCTTTGGATACATCGAAAATTCATACCATAATACTAAACAGTATAGATGTTTTGGTTGCAAAATTGGCCAACGTGGCTCACTGAAATTTTGTCAGGAATTTTGTCTATCCAGATATGGTAACCCTATAATAGTATGAACTTGGATTTGAGATGAATTCAAGTTTGAACAGATTTTATAGTTCTAGTGCGAAGTCAAGTCTAGTCACTGCACCTTCAAGTCAAGTCTCCTCTGCTTTGTTTAACAAACCTAGTTCGAGTTATTATGGTTTCATTTGCAGCAGTGAAATGGTTGAATATTAGTCACATAAACAGCTTGTGTTAAATTCCTAAATTTGAATCATATATTGGCAACATTTGCCTCAACATCAGCGTGGCCTATTTCAAGTTATTGCTGCAACAAGCTATTTGATTTTGTCAATAAAACATCAATCGAAATCCAATCAGAGAGAGAGAGAGATTTATTGTTTTGTCAACCGAAAATCAATCGAAATCGTATTAAAATAAATTGAAGTTTTTATATTCATTTTGACCACTGCAATATTTCTCGATTTTATAAATCTACTTGAGCATTTTCAGTTTACAAACTGTAGTGGAACAATCATGTATTGCTCTGTGATTTGCAAGCTAGTTTTGATTGATAATAGTGCAGATTATTTTATTTACTTGATGCCATACAAATTATATCTAAGGCAGGGCCAGACCCAAATATGATTAAAGGGAACTTACTGTTAAATAAAACTATATCGCTATGCGTTGAGGTTAAGGGAGGCTAACTCCTTATCTTTTTTTAAGCGCATATTGGAAGGATGTTGTAGCAAGAATAAACATTACTACACCATGTGTTCTGCTGCACAATAACACAAATGTATTTCTGTGCATTTGGTCTAACCAAAGGTATTTGTTTTTGAAATAAACTAGGACACTAGAAGCAGAAATAATAAAATACAATAATTGTTAGATTCATTGTTGCTTACATAAATTTGTATAGCTATATATCGAAATCCCTTCCCATTTTTGTCAAAAAATGAAGTCATTACTATGATGAAATCTGTTCAATTACTTATCATAACTGTTCATTACTTATTACTTTAATTATCATATTTTGTTTTAGATTAAATAGCACAGCCTGATAAAGCTGATACTCAAAACATATCTTCTAATATTTTAATCCCATAATTGGTGAAATGGCTAAATCTGGTAAAATACGAGAAATCGATTCTGCCGATTCCTCAGATGAATCTACAGAATTTTCAGATGCAAACGATCAAATTTCAGTTCGAAATGCATTACAAGTATCGAGGCCTTCGATGCCTGGGACGGTACAAGAATTTGGTAAAAATATTTTCCAAAGTCTCGTAAAACATTCAGAAAAACATGGAACTGTGGTAGCTCCAACATTCGTTTTCAATCAAAATATTAAGGAAGGTGAGAATAAGGTCTGCCGTTTTTTCCACCGTTATCCTAAAGGTTAATTATTGGGTCTAATTTATGTCTATAGCCTACAAAAAAAATATATTTCAAAATATTTGTTTTTGTCAATATCACATAAATCACATTTTATCTTATTTGGGGTGAATAAATAATACAAGTACAAATAAATTTTTCTGCAATTTAATAACCATTTCATATATCCTTCATTTGATATTTTATGTAAATGGAGTGAAATTTTGTTAATTTTATTCGTCATATTTTTTGGCTCGTACAAAGTTACTTCCAGCCATGCCTGAAATAACAACAGCCAAGAAAATGCCCCTATTGTAACAATAGAGCTTAATTGAAAAACTAAAAATAGGTAAATAAAAAAAAACATTAAAAATTAAAAAAGAACTGTAGTACTTAATTTGTCTGATACTCAGGGAGAATATTTCATTGTTTTTGTACAATAATAGCATGTTTCAACCAAACTTTTTTTACAGTAAATAATAAATAAATACCAATCTGACTATTGTGCTTTATCTCAACAGGGGACAATATAGAAACCAGTATTGCTGGAAGTTCTGGTTTTACGCTTGATCGAAGCAGCAATACATATGAAAAAACCTCAACAACCAAGCAAAAGGCAGCAAAGTCTAATGATGCAGTAGAAAATGAAACAAAAGGAGAAATACCATTCCATTTTGAAGGTAAGTTTACGCGATTTGGGTGGATTCTAATTTTTCCAGGAAACTTTTGGGCTGATCTGGACACAAACTTTGCATGTAAGTGTTTATATCAGGGGGGGGGGTCACGGTTTTTGGATCAGGGGCCAAAAATTTTGCCCACCTAGACTGGTGGACCATGTAGTATGACGTAAAGAGTTACATTTTATAAACAATGTTTACAATGTAAACAATGTGTTAGAAAAGCAACAGTGGAAAACAATAAACCTTGTGCCAAAACTAAATTTGATGTTCACGTTCGTAAGAATATATTTTTATAGACAGCTGTATGTAAAATGCATTACACTGAGATTAAATTTTTGTACTCGCTTGTCAGATTATCATTCGAACAATGCACCACTCGGCAACGAAGTTGCAAATTGATTATAACATTTTGGCCATAACACAGACACAGCATCATCCTTCATATTGATGATAAGTGAATAAAAACAATGCATTGTTTGATAATTTATTAAAAAAACACCTCATACATGTCCCTTTGTGGCAGGCTTTTAACACAGCAATAGAGTGTGCAATTGCACCATGATATGAAGTTTCATGTGGCGATTGTTCTTAGGCGAAAATAATGTGGCATTCGCGCTACCAGAAATGTGTGCAAACGATCAAATTCAAATACTAGATTTGTACTAGATGTGTTTCACACGGTTCCATTATCTTTGAACCCGCGTACATTTGAACCCGTACATCTGAACCCGTAATTTGAACCCAGAACAATTGCACCTATGAACATTTCCACCTACGGACATTTGAACCCATACATTTCCACCCATGGATTTTAGCACCCGCATATAGATTGAACCCGCGGACATTTGAACCCATGTACATTTGAACCCACGAACATTTGCACCCGCGGACATTTGAACCCATGTACATTTGAACCGGCGAACATTTGCACCCGCGGACATTTGAACCCATGTATATTTGCACCCACAGACATTTGAACCCACGTATATTTGAACCCGCGTACATTTGAACCCACGGACATTTGAACTCGCGTATATTTGAACCAATGTATATTATATTTGAACTCGCGTACATTTGAACCCGCGTACATTTGAACCCACGACGATTGCACCGGCATACTATTGCACCTATGGAAATTTTTGTTGTTTTACGGATATTTGAACCCATACTAACCCTAACCCATGGGTTTAGCACCCGCATATAGATTGAACCCGCGAATATACACATGGGTTCAAATGTATGTGGGTTCAAATGTACGGTCACCTGCGTGGGTTCAAATGTACATGGGTTCAAATGTCCGCGGGTGCAAATGTACATGGGTTCAAATGTCCGCGGGTGCAAATGTTCGTGGGTTCAAATGTACATGGGTTCAAATGTCTGCGGGTGCAAATGTACATGGGTTCAAATGTCCGCGGGTGCAAATGTACATGGGTTCAAATGTACGCGGGTGCAAACGTACACAGGTTCAAATGTCCGCGGGTTCAATCTATATGCGGGTGCTAAAATCCATGGGTGGAAATGTATGGGTTCAAATGTCCGTAGGTGCAAATGTCCATTGGTGCAATAGTATACAGGTGTAATTGTCCTGGGTTCAAATTACGGGTTCAGATGTACGGGTTCAAATGTACGTAGGTTCAAATGTGCTGTCACCGTTTCACACACAATTCAAATTATCTATCAAAGACATACTATTTTATGTTTTACAGATTCAATTCGCGTCGATCATAACCTGTTGCTGCTTTATAATGAAAGACTAGCAAAGTATGGTGAAGTTTACAGAGGCTTGCAGACTCATAAAGGTTCTCGAGGATTCGATCCAATCGCCATAAAATCTATCAAACTCAGCGATGAAAATAGGAAAGAAGTGGAAATCATCCGAAAGCTTCGTTCCCACCCAAATGTGATAACTGTCCTCCAATCTGGGACTTATTTCTTTGGTCCAATAGAACATTTATTCATCGCAATGGAATACTTTAAATCTAAAACCTTGACAGACTTTGTCAAAGACGATCCAAAGCCTAAGACTGACGAAGTCAAACATAAACAAATAGAACAATTTGTTGAAGCTGTCGATCATATCCACATTAACGAAGTTCTACATCGCGATCTTAAACCAGATAATATCTTGGTATCGGACAATGGGAGAATTCTCAAAATAATTGACTTTGGTTTGGGAAAACAGTTAAGAAAAGGACATTTTGTAACCAAAATGAGCACTTTACGTGTTGGCACTGATGGTTGGAGGGCCCCGGAAATATACCTTTCTGATATTTGTTCTAAACAATCGGACATATTTTCTTCCGCACTCGTAATCCATTTCATTTCGACCGATGGTTCCCACCCATTCGGTAATGACCCTGATAGTTGGAATCTCAATATCAAACGATATCAAGGATGGGACCTGAGCAAACTAGAAGGGGATCTGGAGGATTTGGTTGGTTGGATGCTCAGATTCCGACCACAGAATCGTCCAAATACCGAACAAATTCGAAAACATAAATACTTTCATGGTCAACTTGTTTGCCCTCATCCCAAACTGAGTAAGTAGAAAGGTTCTATCATTTTTAATGAAATATTTCTTCAATCAAAAATTCGGATAATTGATTGGACACAGTATATTCCACCTTAGTAGAAAATTTTGAACTCAGTCAAAAACAAAGTTTAGTGCAAGACTTTTATATGAAATTATCATTTAATAAAGTCTAGATTTCATATTTTCCCCAAAGCCTAGCTTAAATCACACATAACATATTGTAATAATACCCAAGATGTTTACTTTATATGAATGATATTCGGGAACATTTTGGTTTGATTAATCAATTGATTTTGCTCTGTGGTTTTTATTATTCTGTCTAAATGAAACCAATACTTTTAGGTTCTGTAGTACGAAGCGCTCCAGAGAAGGAAGTTGTAAAAGTCAAAGAAGAGTTTGAAGAAAGAATGAAGCAGATGGAATTAAAAAATGAACAAGAAAAGACGAGAATGTTAAAAGAGATGGAAAATCTTATAAAGAAAACGAAGGGTAAATTTAGGCAGCTTTTTTAATTGTTTTGGGTTTCTTCTTTGTTCTGATTTTGCCACCAAGAGTACCACGTCAACAGAAATTGCAGTTTTTTTATTTACACCACCTCACTTTTTCTGATGAAACATGGGAACCAAGCTTAAGTTTATATAATAAATTTGCTACATAAATACAAATGTTTACTTCGACAAGCTTTCAAATTTAGTTTTTTTTTAATTTAGTTTGGAAACATTCAATTTGTTTAAACTTGTTTCAACCTTGATTTTTGTGTGTTTGCCAATTCTTCTCTCTAATAATTCCAGAAGAAGAAATTGTTAAAGTCAGGAGAGAGTCAGAAAGAATGCGAAAAGAGCATGAAGAGGAAATGAGGCGGGTGCAAAAAGAAAAGAGGAAAATGGAAATTGAGAACGAAAAGCTTAGAGCTGAAAAGAAAGGTTTTCTAGATTTCTAAATTGTTATTGGTAATTGCGGGCTGTATGCTGATATGACAAGATTGCTTGATACCTTGTCTCCTTAGGGTGATTCATGTAACCGCTATTTGGGTACACCATTGATGCGTCTGAAAACAAATAACTGGATGAAAACTAATCCCATACCCAACATGGAGTGTTAACCGGACGAGCGGTCCTGGTTTGTCATATGACTAAGCCGTCTCATTTACTTTCCTCTCCTCTTATTTTTATCTCTTTCCTCTTATTCAACCATATCTTACTAGCCATATAACTCTTGTTGTTGATTTTCCATCAAAACCATGAAACTGTGGTTTGTCTACTATTCCAATTCGGGACTTTAGGTTGAATATTTACTGTCATGTTCATGAGTGTTTTGAAAAAGTTAGTCAATATTAATATTTTTCAATCTTATTCAGATTTTGCTCAGTCTTCCAATATCTCTGCAACAAACCAGCTTGCTGTTTCGACTAGTGCAAACAAGTCCATTTTTCACAAGACTGCGAAAGGCAGGTGTCAAGGTAAATTTTGTTGAGAAATTTCTCCTGTTAATAAATATTTTCAAATTGGTCAAATCTAAATCCATTTGTTTTATTACAGCATACCTTTGAGGATCATATCTAAAACACAAAAGAGTGAAAATACAACTAGACACAGTAAATGTAAATCTGAATATGAATTTGTGTATTATCATACCTTGGCTATTAAACTTCTATATCACAGGCATTTCCTGTGACTTTATGAATACCAAACAGTATTTCTGCTATACGTTTTGATTTTATCAATCCAAGTGCAGAATCTCAGTCTTCAAGTTAAAAATCAAAGCTTTAAATCGGGTTGGGCAATTACTTTCCTGGGCCGGAGTGGGCCAGTTCTAGATAATAGACTTGCTTACTGGGCCGGAGGCTCAATATAAAACTATAAATAAAAACAGTTTATTGCTGTTCGATAATAAAAAAGTGAATCCGCAACCACAATTTATGGATTGAAAAGTGACAATGTAAAATATTAAAAAATAAAACAGAAACACCATAGGTTTTGTTTTAGGAAGAGGGAAACACCATAGGTTTTGTTTTAGGAGGCACGCAACAGATTAAAAATGCTGTTAAGACTGTGATAAAAGGAAAATTGACGGCACACATTATGTTGGGTTGCCTTTGAAAATCAGGAAATATGAATTTCCCAGAAACATGAAGACCCTGGAATTTTCCCAACGATGATATTTTAAAAATAATCATAAGTGACAAATTCCAAGATCGCAAAGATCTGAATCCAATTTATTTATAAACCGGTCAATAGTTTATCGCGTATTTCATGTCCGTAGATTACCGTAGTATTTTAGAGTAGTAGTGCTTTTATTTTACCTTAGTCGACACAATGAACATAATCAAATTAATATGGGAAGACATTTTAAATGCCCGTATCAGCCACAGAATAAATATTTTGCGCAACAGCAAAATCATAATCCACTGGAAAAGTCTATTTTAAAGAGTGTCGCAATCGCAGCACTTGTTTTAGAGTTGTTGCATGGGAATTTTTGATCCCGATTTTTTGGAACCCCCCTTTTTAAAAGTCCTGGATACGCCCACGTAGAAGCTGCTGTGCTGATTTGTGCCAGATGAAACACTTCTGCGGGTCAGATCTGGCCTACGGGCTGTAATTTGCCCATCATTGCTCTAAATCAAGTGCAGTTGCACTGTTTTTTTAATGCACTCCACATTTAGGCTTCCAATATTATAGGTATATTAACCAGCAAAATACTCATGTTTATCGATGACAGTGAATTTTATAATATTTTGTCTGATGCATAGGCCGTCTAACCTGTAAACGGGCAGTTTCACTAGACTGCGAGATAACCGTCGCTATCATATTATAGACGCAAAACCCATTTGTAAATTCTCAATGCCCAAAATACGAAAATGGCATTTCAGTTACGTTGAATTTGGCTTGACCAAGGTAAATTGAGATGAGAGAAAATGTGCTATGTTTATAGCATGAGCATAGAACGATGCCTATGGGCCTGTTTTACAGTAAGCCATGGTACAAACTGCTAAATTCAACATGGTTTGTCGAATCTTAGATGTTTCGTACATCCTCTACCATACCTCAGCGACCCCGCGGACCCCATGACCTGTTTGCGACCCTACCTACTTATCACTCCGACCCAATTTGGGGTCGCGACCCCTGGTTTGGGAAACCCTGCACTAGACCATGGTATTGCCCAAAACTCATCTAACCACACAATAGCTTAATTACATCTAGGTACCATAATTTTCATTCTTTCAATTTATAATTTTCTCATATCGTGGTACATTTTAAATATCATTGAACCCCTCAATCACAAGCATTATTGCTTAAATAAGGACAAACCTTATTTTTATCATTAAGTTCTTGTTTCATTTATCCAGGTACAGAATCTCAGTCTCCAAGTCAAACTACTTCTGTTCTAAGAATCATCAATCAACAACCATCTGGTGGGGAGCTGTCATGGGATTACTTGCGAGAATCACTGCCAGGATATGAAGGAGAGTGGACTCGTGTCATCACCTACTCATTTGCTGATGGAAGTCTGATGGTGAGTTATGAAGCAAATTTAACTGTTGGTTGGAAATTAAATTACAGATTTACTGGAATCAAGATTCCTAATCAATAAGGTTTTTGTTTTTAATATCAATCCCCATTGCACATTAGTAAATTTGAACATCGATCAATTAAAATATATTTCCTGAAACAAATACCAGTGCAATAAATGAAGAATCACAATTCGTTGAAAGTAATATTTAGGGATGCCCAAAACCTGATAGTTTGCCTAGAATTCTTTGTTACAATTATTGTTATTGTGAATTTCTTGCATCGATTCATTGGAGGGTCACAATATCTCATTGTCAATTGAAAAGCAAAATCATTATATTATATATGTCAAAATTTACTAAATACAACATGATGTAAACAAAAACGTGGATGGAAAATAGAAAATTTTCTGTCATACCCTTTGATTTCATAAATGCTCCAAATATGGTGATTTTGATATAATGGCAAAGACATTCCTTATAATAGTACTGTCATGTTACTTTTTATGCGATGCTTATTCATGCCTTCTGCTCGGAACAAGGCCCTATACAAGCAGTCACTGATATTTAGTAGGGTGGTTCACGTGACCAACTGGTCTGTTACAGCCTCCTACACCATCAAGTCCATGCTTCCGAAAACGAATAACTGGCTAAACAATCTCTTTTGTGTTATAGACTGGTAACCGGATGAGAGGCTGTGGTTCGCCACTTGATTAAGTCGTCATATCAGCTTTTCTCCCCTCAAGATAAATATGTTAATTCTGTCATATGTTATATTTAATGAAATTTAAGCTATCAGGCACTGGTATCTAATGATAATTAAGGAGATATTATTATTTCGAATTTTCTGGTTCTGCATTTCCTATCCAATTTATTTCATCCTGGGTGAGGTGGTTGGCATGGATTTGAACCGAGATGTTCAATATGTGATGTCAGCTTAGTTCAGTCCAACACTTCAACCATTGGGCCAGCGCTAAAATGTTAGGTAAAAAATCTACTGGTTCACTTATGGAAAAAAATTTGAATAAAATTCAAGATTGTGAATAATTTGTGATCATTAATGTGTACTTTATGTTTGTAAACATATAGGCCTAATGTCAACTTTTCTCTGCCTGATTTTATTTTGAAACGCTAACAAACTCTGTGCAGCAGATAAATAAACTGCAGCTTGGGAAATTGCAGCAAGCAGTGTCCATCTCTATTGTTACGTAACACTTGTGCACTGCGGTACACCCTTTGGTAACAACTGCGTTAGGCCATTGCACAGTCCAGAAGCTTGAATGCAGTATTGCTAAATGTTTGCATTCAGCCATTCACTTACATGAGTTATTGCTTCTCATAGAAATATACAGAATCAGGCAGTATTTTGTATAATGCTCATATGCAGGGATTCCATCGATCTGGAACCCAAAATAAGGACGACTGGAAAAATTTCTGCATTGTGAGCAGAAATAGCTGGCTTTCCTATGGGCTCCAGGTTAATGTCACAATTACAGACGTCACAGTGAGCGAAGCACTTACCCTTCAAGTTTCATTTAACTTTGGATTCTTTCCCGTACTCACTGAACACGTTCTCATTTTTAAATTTAGGCTAAAATAACCACCACCACGACAAAACCTAAGGATCGCCACACTAACAATGCTTCATGCCTATCTGTGCCTTGCTTTTTTGTGTTCCAAATAAGATTGTGTTGCTTTTATGATGCCACAATAAAGCTTTGGCGATTGGACGAACAACACAAAGCTTCTATTATGAAGTCCAAATAAGACAAAATAAGGACACGCAAGCCAAAAATAAAGACGCAAGCTAAAAATAAGCCAAAAATAAGGACGAACCTTATAAATAAGGACGGTATGGAATCCCTGCTTATATGGGTTGACTATGGTTCATGCTTTGTCCATCTATAATTAATTCAAACTGGTATGCTGATTGAATTCAGTTCTAATGGAAATCAAAGCTTTGAAAGATTTGTTATTGAGAAAAAGTTCGAATATAGAAGCCATTTGTGCAGTAAAATCATAAAATAGCCATATATAGATCATGCTTGTTGTTTAAATTCAAGTTGTTCATAGAATTCAGCTCTTCTATGTTTAATTTATAATTCGATTCAATGGTGCAGTAAAATCATGACAAGCTAAATATTTAGCGGGCTTTCTTATAATTTCTGATTTCAATGTTCAGTTAGGTTGTTGGGTTGACAAGTTGAATTAATCTATTAGAAACATCAAGTATTTTGTTAGAAATTTTTTAACTTCTGCTAAACTTTCATAGATATTCTGATATTTATATCAGTTTGACAAACCCCCAGGTATGAGAGATGATTAGTTTTGTTTGTTTCTTCAGGGGGTTTCATATGAAGCTCAAGAATTCACTGAATATTTGCCAATGAAAATCGATTGGGAGATATGTTACAACTTACTCGAACAAGCATTCAATGCAGGATTGATTTTCAAGATTCAGGAAGTTGGTAACAGAAGAGGAAAAATTGTTTGGAACAATGAGTTTCCTCATAAGACTGATAGAACTGGAGGACCAGGAAAGTGAGTAATTTGTGTGTTTTATGTATGATGGTTACTTACTTCATAAAATGTTAGGAAATAGGAAGGAATAAAACAAATTCAAAATCTTGTTATGTATTGCACTACAAAACAATTCAAAATTCTCTCAAAATCCTTATTTTGGTATCTAAATCGTCATTTATGGGAAATAATAAAAAAAGGGATTCACAAACCCCTGGTATTTAAGTTATTGCTCACAATAACCTTGGGATTTATTTTCAAAATTTTCAAAGCATAAAGACATATCGGATAAAATAGTTTTCCTGAAAATTATCCAAATTTATTTACCGGTATTTGGATTTTACCAACCTTGTTCAAATGAAAACCAAGCTCATTTTTATAGGAAAATGATTTATTTAATTCAGAGTGACTTAATGTTATTTAACTGCAAGGGTCTGGTCTAAATTTCCGGACATATCCACCTAACCATTATGACCACAACTCGTATTTATTAAATAGATAAGAAATCTAAATTATGATTCTAAAATGTTGTATTTTGGGCATCTGCACTATGGTTGTGGTTCTCAGTACCAATGGTTTTCTTATAATTCATTCTGAATAAATCCCAAGAAAGGTTGAACTTTGACATTTATTTGGAAGCCAGAGTCATAATTTGTTCCTGTTAAGAAGTTGCAATTTCAGACTTTTTAACAGAAACTAAATTGGTCGCTTATGATAAATTTAAATGTTGGTGCTCTTGGAGTATTCATACCAAAATGGTGCACGACCTGACATAGTATTGTGTACCAGGTTAGTTTTCAGGTGGTGCGTCATCTTGGTACAAATACTTCCGGAGCGCCTAAATGTTTGTCGACCAAGAGTTTTTTCTTCAACTCCCTAGGTGCAAGTTCTGTACTGCAATACTCTGAAGTCAGGATCCATCATTTACCAAACTTCCATTCTTTTTCTATGTACATGTTCAATGAGAGTTCATAAATTCATTTTTTCAGCAATGGATATCCAGATCCAAACCATACAAGGAAACTGCAAAGAGCATTGGAGGCGAAAGGATTTAAGTATGATATATGGGTGAGATAATTTTATTCATTTGACACTCTGGCAAAATATTGCTGTGCCCACTTTCCCCAACATGCATCCATATGAATAGTCTTAAATTCCTGAAATAACAAGTTAGATATTCATCACTTGAAACTGAATTGAGTAATGAACTTGCATTGGTATCGGAGGTAGATAAAAGAATTGCTTGTTTAAATGGATTTTTCTCCGATTCTAATAATTTACAATTCGATTGAAATTTTCGATTTGAAAAGTCAGGCCCTTAGACATCATAAAGTACTATATCGTCATATATGATATCACAATCACATAGTTTTGAAAGCTTTCAAATGAAAACTCAAAATCGCTATGTTCAATGAGACACTCTGTGTGCTGTGCAGCTTCAATTAATAATATAAGACCAAGGCCTCACTTTTATCTCACCCTAGTTCTTATGATTTCAAGTACTTGCTTTGCCATTTCACTATTGCAGTGCTAATTGTGTAGAATATGGTGATTTGAATAATATAGAAATTATTAGTTTTTTATTCCTCATTTTTTATGTTTTTACCTCTGGATAAGGCTCTGTACAATCATCCACTGATATGTGAATGACTAATATTTTTCAGATATACTGTAATTTTACCAGTGACAAGAAATTAGTTTCGTAGTTTGGGAAATGTGGAGCTTGGATAGATATAATAAATATGACAAAACATAGCATGTTTGAATAAGCTGCCCTATCATAGTGCACAAATTGACAAATTCTGGCTTTTTCCAATATTTTCTCATGATAATTTTTTTATTCATTTAGTGGGACAGTTGAATAAGTTAAAGACATTCTAAAAGATTTCCTGCAACACGATTTCTCTTCATACGATGCTGAACTGAGATATTGAACTCGCCTTCATCAAAACTACGACAAAGGCCAAAACAATGCCATGCATATTATCAATGTAGCCATTGTGCAAATGATGTTCTTGATCAATTAATTCATATGATGAATGACGAAAATTGTGAATATTTTGAGAAAATGTATCTGTGCCATTGTGAAATGAGTAAAATGGCCCAGGCAGCTAAAGCACACGACTTACCGTAATTGTGCTGGCATCACAGATTACACATCTCAGGTTTAAATTCCATGCCCCCACCTCACCCATGGTGCATCAGATTGGTTAGGCAATGTTGAACCGAACCGAAATGATTTTGGTCATTCCATATAAATAGTAGCTGCTTACATAGCGTTAGATATCAGTGGCTGCTAAAATTAATATAGTTGAGACATTTTTGATAACTTTTGTGGCTACCAATACCTGGAATAGGACTCTGAACAAGTATCCAATGATGAATATGAAACTCATATATTGCTTGAAATACTCCTGTTTTGCACTGTGTACATCACTCTGGGTGAGGTGGCATATGACCTGGGTTCTTTAATCAGACATGCCAACTTAATCAAGTCCAAATACTACGCTATTAGGATGATTGTATTGCCAATATATTGGATTTGGTGGAATCAATCAGCGAAACTCTATTTATACGCACGCATTCATTCTTTATTAATTATAATTTGTTGAATAAACTGGCATTTTTGTGTTAGTCAAGATACCGGAAAATTGACAGGTTATACCGAAATGCCCATTGGTTTAAAGAATTGGTCCTCCCGAAGTATGTGCACCAAGATGATGCACAACCTGAACATAGTATGTGTACCAGGTTAGAGTTATCAGTTTGTGCGCCATCTTGTTGCACATATTTCAGGAGGACCGAAAAATTCCCAAATCAACCCTATGTCATTGAGCTCTAGAATTACACTGTATAGATTATTTGTATAAATATTTCTATCCTGGGTCCTGATAGTCAACCACAACTAAATCTATTATTATTCTTGAGTTTCAATGTTGTTCTTATGCATTTTATTATATTACTTCCATGGCATATTGTATACTTTTTCCATAGGTTCCTCACTGCTACTGTATATACCACATTCCAATAGATCTATACAATTGTTCTGATCTCCTAATTACCAACCACCACTGTATATATCTATCAATATTCAATATCATTTTCACGTTTTATTTTTATAATCACGCAACCAAGCCAAGTTCTGTAGAATATAACGAACTCCCAAAGTATGTGAACTAAGAAGGCGGACACCAGAACATAGTATGTATACCAGGTTAGGGTGAGGTGATAATTTCAGGTAAAAATACTACTTGGCTAGTCCCCGAACTCGTAATAGAACTAAAATAAGGAAAATGGAATAAAATTATGACCTAACCCTAACTTGGTACACCACTATGTTCCGGTGTCGGCCATCTTGGTTCACATACTTCGGGATTACCTGATACAAAGCATCTGACAATATACAAATCAAGAGTTCCAGCGAAATTATTTTTGGTAAAATGTGACTTTGTATACTTTTGCCCAACTATCAAGAGTTTTGAAGCAAATATACCACTGAGTTATTATTCCAGTAAACTACGGTATTTTTTTTTTTATGATTTTATAAATAATTTGACATGCATTCGAGTGTCTCTCAATTTGATGTTAAATTATGTGTTATTGATTATCATGCTGAGATTGTTTTCTTCGCATGAAACCACTCTGGTTCAATCAACATGGGAAACCACTCTGGTTCAATCAACATGGTCGACTGCTAATTTTCGAGTTTTCTATTCCAAATGTATAAAACCAGTCCTAGGAACCGATTTATTACACCCCGGGTGAGAACGGGGTCCAGTTGTGTGTATGAAGATGAAATAACAAGTCCTTGGTATAGAGACTTCGGTGCTTTCGGTGCTCCAGAAGCGGGTGTACCAATATGGAGGTAACTACTTTGGTTCAACAACTTTCACAGTTGTGTAAAAGGACCGAAACCCAGGGTATATTTACTTGGCTAACACAGACAGTCCCTGAACTCATAATATGGCTAAAGTAAATCTGAATAAAATTGTTATGTTCTAGCCCTAACCTGGTATACATACTACGTTCCAGTGTCTGCCATTTTGTTTCTCATAGCTAACATTTCTGGTCCAGGAAAAGATACCTTATAGCTTCAACTTGACCACAAGCCCTCGTATTAACCAGCCAATAGCTGTAAACATGTGGACTGAAAAGGCAATTTAAGCATGAACACACGCTGCAATTGTGAGGGGACATTATTCTTGCTCATTATCAGCATCCAGTGGTGACACAAATACGATGCCATAGCAGTTTGAGCCAAGAAAAGTATGAACGAGACTTAACAATAAAGTCATTCCAGGCAGTTCAAGACGAGACATGTGGTTGAATTACCATTTCATTAATTCTGGAAGCATCTGAATAGCGAGGAAAATTGCCAAAAATGAAACTTCATTTTACAGTATGATAATAGCTATGAAATGAAAACTAAGACTAGTTATAGAATTCACCTACAGGGACATGGGTGGTTTTATACTCTATCCCCAATTGGTATAAAACTCTGTAACAGATGTGTGAATACTCCAACTTTATATTTATCCTATTTTTTTTATAAATGTTCTATCCAGACCCGAATTTGGACTCCCCCCCCCCAACCCAACAACAAAAATTTTAAATAATTGGAAAATTACAAAAATCTATCAACTAGGACTCTAAAACTCGGTAGAGAAAAATAGGAAATAAGAAGAAGTTTTGGCTTTTAAGCGCTGGTAGATAACACTCACGCCTTGGTCGTCCAATTACATAACAGATAGCATTGATTACGTAACACCGTGGTTCTCAAACTGGGCGTCGCGACGCCCAAGTGCGTCGTTTCAATATTGATAGGGCGTCGCGACGCCCAGTTTGAGAACCACGGTGTTACATAATCAATGCTATCTGTTATGTAATTGGACGCCTGAGGCGTGAGTGTTATCTACCAGCGCTTAAAATTCAACAGCGTTGTGCCAAAACTTCTTCTTATTTCCTATTTTTCTCTTCCACTGAAAAATCAGCTTTTACATCGGGCGGGTATTCAAGCACCAGCCCTTATTTATTTTTATGTTCTGTTCACACGGGCGGCTATTCAAATGGGCCCTTAATCAAGATCGGGTGGTAAAACGAGCATATACGGTATATTAAAGCTAATTTACATATCAACATTACATAATATGGGATTAGTTAGCAAGTTGTTCTTATTTGCTTTAGATACATGGTATTTTAAACCTTTAAAAACAAATTAGTAAAACAATTAACTTTCCTAACCTTGGGTTTTTGAAAAATGTTGATACTTTTGGTACTCGGTAAACTTCATCATCTGCTGTCTTTGCTTGGCCATGATAAGTTCCAATGCGTTCTGGTGGTCGATCAAACTTTGTCACAATTCATCGTTTTCATGTTGGAGAAATCGGATCGGAATATATTCTTGCTACCTTGAAATTAAAAATGCAAATTTATTTACCATATGAGATTTTACGCAATTTATTTACAGTGCAATTTGGTACTCCTGTAGTATGCGAACCAAGATGGCGGACACCAGAACATACTACAGGAGTACCTGCAATTTATTTCATGCAGAATGCAAAAACTTTTGATTTGATCAAGGTTTTTATTTCTGATTTCTAAGCAAGACAATAGACAAGCACCCATGAAACATTCGCTTGATACTAGGCTGATTAGAGCTGATCTAGAGGTTCGACCCAGTCCATTACCGAAGTGTGTAATGTCTTGCTATTGCCTTATCTAACTAATCCTTACTTAGGATTAGCTCACTGGTGGGCCAATAATATGATAGAACCACAAAAAAAGTATATGAATGCAAGGTTTTCATATTCAAAATTTCAATATCCTGAATCAGACCCAACTATGATAGATTAGAATAGGAAATGTAAGATTGGACAATAACAGTACAGAACCTAAAATGGGAGAAAAGAAAGAAATTCATATTAATTGCAAGGTTATTGATCCGATTGATTTAGTTGTTTCAGCCAGGACATTTTGGACAAATTTACTTTGAACCATTTAAATCTTATTTTGTTTTCATTGCATCAATTATTTAGTTTCAAGTGTTTGTCTTGGAATGTCACAAATACGAAGAGTGAAAACAAGAGTTAGAAATCTTGATATAAAACATCTTTCATACCCAAGACTAGAGTAGAGTCCGTGTCCAGCAACTTTATTCATTTCAATCAAATTTTTTTTGATATGTGCTTCAGGCTGAGTTGAAAGCAGTTTAGGAAACCTCCATAGTCCTGAAATGGAGAGAATAATGATAAGAAATATACCTTCTTGTTTTCAAACTCCCGACACAATCACTTTAATTGATACAAATCACGGCGCATTGAAATAAAATATTGATGTTATTACAGTATCAACATTAAATTATGACAAGTCTTCAAGTACCGTACAAGTTTTACATTTCATGCACATTTGATCCATACTACCCAAAAACCAGGCTTGTCCATCGACCATCGGACATATTTTTTTGTCTCATCCCACCCCATGGGATTTCGATTGGTATACAATTCAATAAAAATTGTTATTTAGGTTTGGCGAAAAACAAACTGTATTTAGATAGATAGTTTATTTCGAACTCCATAACAAACATAAATTAAAAATGGAGAATTCTGGAGGGCAAGCAATACCTATAAAAAAGTTTAAAACATGAGAAGTATCTCATGTGCCTGCCCACCAGCACGCACACAAAAACATAAGCCCAATTAAATGAGGCTTGGGCCAAACTTGACAAACAAAAAACACGATAGTGTTAAACTTTCGGGCTGTTGTACTTCAGTACTTTCAACAATTACGTTGATAATGACCCATACCTACAACCTCATGCATAGATAATGTGGGGAGTGGAATGTGATAAATTGGCGACGATAGTCATACTCATGAAGCCATGAAAGCTTTAAGAAAAGCCAAGCCACGAAAACTATACTGATTGCTAGATTGGGCATTGCGGAAAAGATGACAAGTGGTTTAATATACAAACAAACGCAAAACCATGGCGGCAAATTCGGTGTGCAGACACTCATAAAAGCAATTATCAGGGAAAACACTAATCACACGTGAGCAGGTCTGTAGCCTAATCGATACATTGACGTGGCCAACATTGTTAAAACAGTACCGGTATACCGGTACACACAGAGAACAAATCAAAAATATGCTATCAAATGAATGTTTAAAAATGTTGTGCATTGATATGATCATAAGTTGCACTACAAACGTTACACATGTATAGTTGAATACTCAGTTAGTATTCAAGCGGAATTTTTAGAAATAGCAGTATTTGCTGACAGTCCGAATTCAGTATCATACTCTTTGTCACAAAATAAAATATCTGAATCAATCCCTGATGTATTCATCTTTCGATTCTGTTATGCTGTCCGTATTTCCATAATTAATATTCTGTACCACAACCTGACAACCTATGTCTGCAAGTTGTAAACCTTCTTGCAGCGACAAATATTTTATCTAGAACTGTTAAAATATTATACCTGCAATCTTGTGACCAAATATCAAGCGTCAGCATGGATCTCATTATCGTACCGGTACTTGATAATTTTTCTTCTCCTGGTACGGTAGCCATACTAACAAGGAAGATGACAGCCTTTTGTATGTGTGTTATTTTCGTATTCCCCTGCTTTGTCAGATATAAAATATTTTTCTAACAAATTCGCTTGCCAAGTTGATAATTTGGACAGTACCTACCGGTATTCTAACAGATATCGGAAATATTGGAGTATTTCATTGGAGTATTTGGTTGTATTAAGTTTGCAGATATAGCTTTATGAACTTATATTAATAGAGTACCTACTATAGTCTATAATATCTTCTCTGCAATGAATAATTGAAACGTCTGAGTAAACCTACCAACTTGAACTCAAAACATCAGTTACGACCTGTGGTTTAGGATCTGGAAAGATGTCAACTTCAAAATCTTGTGATGTTCCTCCAGACCCTCCAAAACGCAAAAGCCCCACCGATCGACAAGCTGGTAGTACTTTTACAGTGCCAAAATTGTCGGAGAGTAAAATCTCTGATTTGGTCACAGTGCTTGAAAGCACAATATTAAAAACATTGCGTTTAGAAATACCAGCAATCATTGAACAACATCTGGAAAGACTTGCTCAAGATGTCTCTTTAACCACTCCCACCAGCACTGGCATCCAGCAGTCCTTGTCTTCACTGGATGAATCACTGAAGGAAGTGAAAACCCAGCTGTCCTCCTTCAGTATAATAAAAGATGAAGTGGGAGAGATTAAAAGAAGCCAGGACTTCATTTCAAAAAAATTTGATGACTTTAGTGCAAACTATAAGGATCTGAACAACACAACAGCAAAAAATAACAAAAAAATTCGCGAACTCGAACTTATCGTCGAAGATCTTGAAGAAGAAATAGATATCTTGACCGAACGCCAGCAAGATCAAGAGCGCAGATCTAGACTAGATAATCTAGAGTTTCACAACATCCCATACTCCACAGATGAAGACTGCGAAAACATAATCATGAAAGTAGCAGCTCGAATCAATGTATCACTTCAACCATTCGACATATCGAACTGCCACAGGATGTCGAAAAACAACAAGAAGAAACCATCACCGATCATAGTAAAGTTTGTCAACCGAAAAACCAGACATAATATTTTAAAAAATCGTCGTCAGCTAAGAACAGCCAACTTTCGTACCGACTTTCCACAATTACCATCATCCACCAAAATTTTTGTTGTGGAAAATTTAACCGACACTAATAAAGACTTATTTTATAAAGCCAAAGATCTCAAAGTCATTTGTGGATATAAATTTTTATGGACGCACAATGGGAGGGTACTCATTAAAAAGAACTCAATGACCAAAACCATCCCTATTGTCACTGAAGATGACCTTTCATTCATCAAGTAGGTTTTTTGATTTTATGTCTGGTCGTAATAATAATAATAATTCAGTTGTATGTCTATACAATTATTGATAGTTATATATGTTTGACTTTCCTCGATTCTGTATTTTTCTCACCCTTTTAAATGGCTTGTGATAGTGTTAGTAATAGTGAATTCCAATTAGATCATCTTGATAATTCTGTCACATGCAACAATGTGGAAGTTGCAAATTTATATTCAATTCAAACCCTGTCAAACTTAAGTATTTTTCATGTGAATATCAGATCCCTCATGAAAAATTTAGACGAATTGACCACGCTTCTATCTAATTTTTCTTCACCTCCACACATAATTGCAATAAGTGAAACAAAATTATCTGATAACCATGATTTTAATATACCTATTGATGGGTACAGCTTCATACATGCGCCATCTGCCACTAAAGCAGGTGGTGTTGGTGCATTTATAAGAGATGATATCACCTACTCTGAAATTACAGAGCTTGACCTTAATAATTATTCTAACTGCGAAAATCTGTGGTTCGAAGTCAGTTTGGTGAACACTTGCAATAACCTAGTAATCGGCGTTATATATAAACATCCTCGCAATGATATTTTAAATTTTACTGATGCATTTGAAACTTCTTTATCCAAAATGGCACATAAACACTTTTTGATTGTAGGGGATTTTAATATTAATTTATTTTCAACTTCTACTAATACCCAAGTTGCCAGTTATGTTGACATGCTTATGTCACATAATGCCACTTCCCTGATAACAAAGCCCACTAGAATAAGTCGTACTTCAGCAACGTTAATTGACCACATCTACACTAATATGAGCAATTCACAAATCAATTCTTTTGTCATTCTGTCTGATATCACAGACCATTTTCCGATTATGTGTTGCCTGAATGGCATAAAACCAACATCTTCTAATAATTGTGTATTGTCAAGGGACATGTCCACATTCTCTCTGGACACTTTTCGTTCAGATATAATAGGCATTCTTAACAATAGGCTTGCACGTAATTTACGGATTTACGGAATTACGGAATTATTTCGAGTTACGGAAGCGAAGTTACGAATTACGTAAAGTCGTAATTATTGGTCGAGCGCTTTCGCGATTGCAACGAGCTCTCTTCAGAGCAGTCAATTCTGTCGATTGTAAAAACTTAAGTGTAAGTAAAAGAAGTGAGAGTTCCGGTATTCGCAGCCGTTTTTCTCTCTCTTGTAAGGCAGATGGAGAAGGCATAACGCGTCATCTATCAACTTATCTAGGATGGCCAATGTACATATCAACCGTAGATAAGGAATAAAAATTGTGTTGAGACCGATGGACGTCAACACACCTGGTTTCAACTTCTTCGGGTGAAATGACTAAAGAATGTAAGAGATCAACTTATAAAACATGGTCTATTTGTAAATGCCATAATAATTAATGTCGCGCTTATCAAACAGCAATATAAAGACGGAAGAGAAATTGCGTAATGAACCAACGCAACTTAGTCTTTTCGGCATCGGTAAAGCGATTGAGACGGCAGACAAACAACAATACGACGGGATTTCCCGTGTTTATTCTGCGCGAGATCCATTTTCTATTACAAAATCTTGATGTTCTGTTACCGATTTTATCTTTATATATCTGTCCGGACTTGGCATTGCTCAATATTTTTTTTTCCACAATGCCTCGCAATATGTCGGCCAAATATGATTACCTGTCTTTACCAAATGCGGCAACTTATTTTGATTTATCGTCGACTCGAATTCCACCGGCACTCGACCAAACTTGTGTCAATCTTGGCAAATAGGATTGTCGACTTGAATTAGAAAAATAAATTAATATTTTCATGAGTGCAAAATAAATGTCACAAAATGCATTGTTTTGCGATATAACTTTGTATTTTCGGAGAAGGCATGTCATATAAGTACGGTATTTTGAATAATGCGCAAATAATTAATATTTGATCTAAATTTATCGCAAATAATGTTATAACTTTTAGGCCGCGAAATGAATTAATGTAAAATGAAGCATGGAATTCGGAATATCGTCAATAAGTCGGCATCAATAATTATTATAAAATGCTAACTAAGTAGTAAAGTCGGATATTGTAAATTGTAAAAAAAACGGTGAAATAACAAGTCTTCGTCGCGAGGCAAGCGAAACTATAATCAAACGAGAAAATACGCTTGTAGTTGATTAATAAATTAGCAACCCGGAATTTTTATTTAATACGAAAGTCGTATTAATACGTTAATACGATTTTAAAAAAGTGAACTATCGTTTCTTAAATATATTACCAGTGTTGGTAATGATAAAATTGATCGCATAAAATTTGGTGATAAAGTTGATAAAGGAAAATCAAGGCTAATACAAATCAGAATAAAATTATTTTGAATTCACTCCTTGATATTTGTCATTAACATCTGTCGCCGACGTGTAGTACTGCCGGGAATATGAAAACCAAACTTCGATGTCCCATTCGGAATAGAAGTGGATTAAATTGGTTGTTATGATAGGTTTAAATGTGTGAAAAAAATTCGCAATTACGGGGTCATTACGTAATCGATTTGGCCGTAATTACGGAATTGATTTTTGTCAATTACGTGCAAGCCTACTTAACAACCAATTCACCACACTTCAATTAAATTCACAAAACTTTGACAGTGTCTTTGACGAATTTGTACAATCATTTGTTTCTTTGATTGATCGACATGCCCCTTTACAACCACTTTCACGTCGTCAGAAAAGGATAAGACTAAAACCCTGGCTTACTAAAGGATTGATTACTTGTATTCGACGCAAAAATAAATTATTCAAATCTCATTTTTTGAGGGGTAACAGCTCTCAATGCTCGTACTTTAAAAATTATCGGAATGTTCTGACAAGAACTGTAGATAGAGCAAAGCAAATTTATTACCAAAACCTTATTGCCCAAAACAGAGGCAACCCGAGATCGACATGGCAAATAGTTAACCAAATTACGCACACGCATAATAAATCAAGACAAAAAGTTAAGGAAATTTATCTGAAAAATGGCAGTATCACCAAAGATGACTTTTCGATATCAACTGAATTTAATGAGTACTTCTCAACCATAGGGTCCAGCCTCTCAGAAAAGTTTTCTAATGATTCGGGTAACCTCAAGCAACTTCTTCATAATCCTCTGAGCCAGTCTATATTTTTGAGTCCGACTACTTCTAATGAATTGTTGGTAGAAATTCAAAATTTGAAGGATAGGAAGGCAGTTGGGCCAGATAATATTCCAGCTCGCTTTCTTAAATTAGTTGCTGACCTCATCGCTCCATGTCTGACAGAGTTCTTCAATTGCTCACTCTCTCTCGGCATATTTCCTTCTTCTCTCAAAATTGCAAGAGTAATTCCTCTTCTTAAATCTGGAAATAAAAAACTCGTGTCAAATTATAGACCGATATCAATCCTTTCAACGATTGATAAAATTTTTGAACGCCTGATTCATAAGAGGCTTACTAGTTTTTTCAATAAATATGATGTCATAAATAAATCTCAATTCGGTTTTCAAAACAGTCATTCCACATCGCATGCTATTTTAGACACTACATCATTTATCTATGATAGACTAGAAAAGAAAGAGTATGTTAGTGCAACTTTTTTAGACTTAAAAAAAGCTTTCGATACTGTAAATCATGACATCCTGATTTACAAGTTGAAACATTATGGTATTAGGGGTATAGCAAATAAACTCATTTCTAGTTACTTAAGCGGTCGATCACAGTATGTTCAAGTAGGTTCTTATTGTTCTCCTCCCTTACCAGTGACTCATGGAGTTCCACAAGGTAGCTGT